CCCCAAAACCCCAAAACCCCAAAACCCCAAAACCCCAAAACCCCTTCTTAACAAGCGCAGGTGGAAATACTATTTAAAACTTAAGGTCATAGATAATGTCTGAGTTTATACCCCTCTTCTTGGAATCACTCATGAACTTCTTCTTAATGGGCTTATGGCATATGATAGGGGTGAATACTGTCTTTGGCTTTGATGCCAAGGTGCTATGGGTAAGGAGAGGGCTTACATCTTTTTAACCTTGCCAGTGTTGGGGACTATACCGGCTGAGGTTAGAAAGACAGTTTGAGAGCGGCCTTACCTTCAATCTTAGATATATTGTTTGTAGAGGCATGCACCTCAGCAGAAGAGACAGCCAGATGGATCTGGCTTATTTCTGGTGATAACCCAAATGACTGGATTGGTCTTGAAGAATTTTTCGATCTTGTTTGAATCCTTGGATTAGTTCGCTCTTTTAAGTCTAAATTTTCATATTCAAATGCTTTACTTATTACTGGAGGATCTCAAAAGGATGGCATTGGTGAGATCTGGAAACTTCCTTCCATTTCACTCTTACACAGTTTTGGATTATGGTACACTGAAACATGTGAATTTCTTCTGTATACACTCGAAGCATCGATACCTATTAATGTTAAAGTTGTGTTACATTCCACATCAGGTAAAAAGTCAAGATTCGACATATTTTTACAAGCTTTCTGGTTATAAGCCATTATTCTGAACTTCTCATGATTTTTATGAGAAGATGAAGACAATGGATACATTCTCCTCTTCTTCAAGCTTGGTAGCACCATTGAAGTATCAAATTGCTTAAGTCTTGAAGGGTTGGGTTCAGTATCTCCCTCGGTAGCGTCGATGATCTTTATCTACATATAAGCTAAGAGGATACTTTCTGTCTGGCCCTGTTGGACTTATCAGTTCTGTCTATACTACTTTCGGTGATTCTTGCTCTAAATCTTTGAAATTAATGTGTACTTTAAAGGAAGCTTGACTCATTTATACATTTTTGCCTTATATGAAGCAGCAGTCTCCTTCGAAATCTCTCTTGATTTATTCGTCGAGAATTTATGGAGATGGCTGAATTTGTACCCTCCAAAGGTGAGCTTTGGAGACTCATGGACGGAACTGTAACTGTTTGCATACTTATTATCATTCTTATTCTGATTTATCTTTCAGACATATCAATCATGGCTTGGGCAAGCATCTAGTTTGAGTTTGCTATTTGGGGAATGTACTCACGAAGAATTCACCTTTGACTCAAAAGGAACTTTCAATTTATTTGTTTTTCTTGAACGTCTTCGGGTATTTATTTATACCTTTGCTCGACTAGAGTGATATTCTGTAATGCAGAAATTGGCTAGACAAAGAATTAAATTCAGAACAGTAAAGACAACCTTACAATTGAGTCGTTTTTATAACTGGTTGAACTCCCATATGGGTTTATTGTTTTTGACTGGTTCTTTCTTGGACTACTCGGTGCACTGTAATGCATTTTCTTTCTATAGAAGTTATTAGAAATTATACAGGTTGTTTAAATCTGTCTTGTACTTGAAACCATCACTTGTGCTAGCATCTATCTGGTCAACGAAACGCCTGTATAAGTCCTCATCTCGAATTTTATATATGTTGGTGCTGTCGCCTCATAATCATTCTTGTTTGCTAAACAGTTATTATTCATGCTAGGAAATATCCCATGGTAGCCCTTTGAAGTGAGAAGTGGCAAGAAAGTAGAATAAGTATTACATATGGTCAACACATTCCATTGCTTGCTTATAATTACTCAATATATTTATTTACAAATGGGGTTTTGGGGTTTTGGGGTTTTGGGGTTTTGGGG